CCCCAAAACCCCAAAACCCCGGCATGGATAAATATTTAGATTATAAAATTAAGAGTGATGGAAAATTAAATAAAATAATTATTTCTATTTTTTAGATATTATTATATAGTTCCAAATTAATGACAGACACAAACAGATGTTAAAGGTCTTGCACTAAGGGGATAATGATGTTCTTTCGACTCATCACGATTGGGAAATATCCAACAGGCTTGTATTTTAAACGAAGATAGGAATTTTCTTCAATAATATCAACCTTTTTCACAATTGTGGGAATACTGATATTTCTTGCAATTTCCTTTAGAATTATAGTTGATGTAATCAATAGAAAAGAGTATGAAATGAGACAAAATATGATAAGGTATGGTGTTAATCACATAAGTGAAGTTTCTGCATCCGAGATAATTCCTAAGCTAAATATAACGGCAGTAATCTAGTACCATATAACTACTAATTCGGTTTTTTTCAATTAGACCTATGCTAATAAATTTTCTGAACTGATCTCATATCATTGTTATGTGTATTTACCAGATTATAGTTCATTTAGGATCAATACAAAAGAGAGAAAAAATATATTAAAAGAAAATCACTATTCAAATAATAGAGTATATCAACAACTTATAATTTAGTTCTATTTTGAAGTAGAAGAAAATAAATTGTTTGAAAATACTGAATTTACTTATATGTTTCTTCGGTGCTCAATAGATGTTGAGGAATTTCTTAAATTTGACAAAAAACTAATGCCATTTGATCCAAAAATATTTGAGGAAATGAAGCTAAGCTTCAATGAGTATTATTATGATGCAGAAAAATATTAAGTCGAAAAAGCAGAATAAAAGATTGTACCTTTTGAAAGTGGAACATCAGGAGTATTCGAAATTGATTACCTCATGTTTAACAGTACAGATTCTATAGTCTAGATATATCCAGAATTCCAATAGTAAGCATTTCCTAAGTTTGTCTCTGAAACAACTTTCGGTGAAAATGTCACTAATAATGGTTTTTAGTAGTCATTTAAGAGAAGCTAAAATATGGTAGATGTAATCAGAATAACACCTTTTAGTTTAGGAAGAGGTCTATAATAGATAGGGGGCTATCTGTCACTCTTATTGTTTCTAATCATTATAATTAGGTTCACACATTAACATTGCTTCAATCGACAGTTGAAGAACTATTTGGAAAAAGAACTTGTTAAGCATAATGATAAAGATACAAGATAAGATATTTAGAGTATCTACAGCTATGAAAATTTTCTAGAGATTACTTAAGAGTTGAAAGAAAATAAAGTGTAGTTAAAACATCTTTAAATTGAAAGATAGTTAATGTAAGAGAATATTGAATAAATGTAAGGCAGATTAGGAATAAAAAGCTAAAGACCTATTTCTTAAATACCTTCAATTAATACCAACTATAATAAGTATTAGTTAGAGACCGCAACATTGAATCCTAGATAACTTTCAGAATTTGTTGATATGAATCGCTTGCTTTTGGATAATTAAACTTTTTATCAAAATTAGGCCAAAAGCTAAAATTAATTTAACAGAAATTCCTCTATCTAGTGAAATGAAATTGATTATTTAATTCTTAGGATTAAAAGTACTCTATTAAGATTGCTTTTGATATTAAATATAAAATCTAACTTTTTTATTCTATAAATTATAATTTTCGCTCATTGTCTCTTGATTTAATTTTATGGGGTTTTGGGGTTTTGGGG